GCTGGGCCGGCCGGCGCGCCGAGAGAGGGCGGGGGCGAGGAAGGGCGCTCTGCCGACGGCGGACCCAGGACTCCGCTCTCGGTAAATAGGAAGCCCCGGAGGGGGGAAGGCGGCAACCCCGCAACTTCCCTCCCCGCCTTGACCACGGCCGGCCGGGCCGGGGACTAGGCCTCCCTAGCCGCCGAAATCGGCACCAAAGCTCACTCCGTGCGCCCGCTGGGCCGTCGCCGCCGGCGCCGCCGCTTCCGCCAGTGAATGGTCAGCGCTGGAGTTTGAACAGGGCCCAGTACCATCTCAACGCCATTTGCGCTCCCGGCCCCCTCCTTCCTCCAACAGCCGCTCGCTCCGTCACTCCGCTTCCCACAGGCCCCGCGCGGCCACCCAAGCCGGCAGCCAATCGCGTGGCCGTTTACTCAAACCGCCGCGCAGGCGGCGCAGCACGCATGCTCGGGGGCCGACCATTGGCTCAAGCCTGGGCCCGACGGAAGTTGTAGTCCACGTCGTGAAGTCGCGGCGTTGGCGTCTGGAGAGGACCAGGGAGCGGGCCGAGCGGTCGCTGCGGGTTCCTCTCTCTCGGCTTTGGAGCGTGTTCCGGCTCCCAGCCACGCCAGAGGCGCAGGTGCCGCGGGGGAGGGCCGCAGTGCAGGCAGCTGTGTCAATCGTTTCCCCTCCGGGGACCGCTGGTGTCTGGGGACAGTGGGTTGTGCAGCTGCGCCAAGCTTGTGGGGCCGCCGCCAGGGAGCGGGGGAGGCGGGAGCTCGCGACTCCGAACAGCCGGGGACCAGCCTCACGGCACGGGCTGGCGCAAGTACTGACAGGGCGCGCGGGACAGGGGCCGAGGGCGTCTGCGACCGGCAGAAGTACTTGGTTGGAGTCCACCAGGAAAAAGAAACCTACCACCGAAACACCTTGTTTGCTAAACCTGACTATTTCAGAGGCAGTTAATCGTATGGGAGGAAACTGCCTGCCCTTTCTTCCGCGGAGCGGCTGCTGCACTCGAACTGCTTACCTTTGGATATACTAAACCTTGGACGGGTAAAATGACCTGGTTTTTAGGATTGACTTTAAAATACTCTTAAAAACCTTGCAGAAGGGGCGTGAAGCTACGCGCGGTGCATTTCATATTTTAAACTGTAAGAGACAAAAGAAACACATGAGCTTCTTACATATCAGACATTTTCCAAAGTAATTTAAACAAAACAAAACGAACCAGTGACTTTTCTCATGGGGAATGGTAGACGGGAAGACGATTTCTTTGGGGGTAGGGGGCTTGTGCGTGTATCGTTTTGTTCCATTTAATGTTTTTGCCATGTCAGTGTTACCGAATTAAAAAAATTGCGAAGTCATTTTTAAAATTTGACCAAAGTGGGAAAACGTCATTCCTAGTTGTAGCTCTGCATTTTTTCATAGAGGTACATGATTCATCCTGCTCGGACAAATCGGTTTAGGAAAGAGGTTAGTAGACACCCACTAGGGAAATTAGAAAATAATACCATAATTGCTTGCAGTGAAAAGCCCGCCTTTCTTCCACAGATTTAAAAAAAAAAAAAATCCAAAAAGCTCCTTCCAATAGGGGTGCCCAGTAGGAGGTCAATTCGAATCAAAAAGTTGTTGAGAATCTGCCAGCTGCCCTACCTGGTAGCAATGCAAGTTGAATTTTAGCATGGTTAGATTGTTCCACTCAGCTATGACAGCTTACAAAATGTATACATTTGTACATTAATACATTTATACTGGTTTCCCACTATGCTTTCTCAGTACTTGTTTTGAAAGAAACCAAGTTTTCTGCACATTAGGTGAATGGAAGTAATAGGTCTATGCATTTTACTAAGGGTGGTCAGCTTTGTGTTTTATGAAAATCAGCTTAAGATCTTGTTTTATCAATTTGAGGATTGGTGGCTGAGGTTCAGGCTGCTCTTACTATAGTTATTTAGTAGAGGGTACTAATTATGGTATAATCATCAGAGGCAAAGGCTAAGATCAAAAAGCCCAACGTGGCCACAGAGACAATTGTCATGTTCCCTCTTGGAGAGTGATGTGGACCAAAGGATGTGTGCATTATACTCTGGCCTCCATGGGGCCATTGACTAGGATGTTGTTATTGTTAAGCCTCCACGGGGACTAGGGTGATGTTGTTCATAAGTGCCATCATTGTCAACAATGAGTCACAATGACCCTGAGAACCATGGATCTGAACCCTGCCCTCTTTTGTGCCATCCTGATCATCTCTGAAATACACTAGCCCACTGTTAGATTCACTGTGCTAATCAGTGTCATTGAGGGTCTTCCTCTCCTTCACTGACCGTAAGCCTTTCCAAACATGTCTTTTTCCAAGGTCTGGAAACACACATGAGTATGTGAGAGGAAGCTTCACTATCCTTGCCTCCAAGGAGCATGTTGGCCACACATTTTCCAAGATATGCATGTCCTTTTTGTAGTCCATGGGATATTCTGCACTTTTTTTTTGTAACCGTCAGCAAAATCCCTGCTTTGTTTGCTGTGTATTATTTTGCACTTTTCTTTAGCACCACAAGTTGAAGGCATCAATTCATCTGCCATCCTTACTCAACGTTCAGCTGCATAGCAAATAATTAGATTATGGTTTGAATAAGTTATATCTTGGTCTTCAAAACATCATTGCTAAAAACAAAACAAAAAAAACCCACATCATTGCTCTTCAGCACTTTGGAGAGGTTTCTTACAGGAGATTTTCCTAATGCTATACTTTTTTTTATTACCTGGCTGATGGTGCCAAGGGTGTAGATTGTGATTCAAGCAAGATGATATCGTTGACAATTTCTGTCTTTTCTCCATCTATCATGTTGTTACCAGTTAGCTTGGTGGTGAAGATTTTTGTTTTCTCCATGTTGAGATGCAACCCTTATTGAAGGCTGTAGTTACTGATCTGCAACGTTTCAAATACTCTTTGCTTTCAATAAACAAAGTTGTGTCATCTGCATAATACAGATTGTTGCTAAGTATTCCTCTGGCCTTGATGCCACATTCTTCATATAATCCAGCCTCTCACGATTTGTTCTACATACAGATTAAATAGGTATGGAGAAAGGATACAACCCTGTTGTATACCTTTCCCAATTTTAAACCCTTATTTTGTTCACACAACAGCTTTTTGATCTAGGTATAGAATTCACATGGGCACAATTAGGTTGACTAGGATAATAACTTGGACATACCGGTAGTGTAGCCATAAGGAGTTGTACTGCCGACACGAACGCATTTGGAATCCATCAGGTGCTCAGTGGGAGAAAAATAAATGTTCTCTTCACATGCCCACTGGAAGTTTATCTGTGAATCACTTCTATCTCAACAGCGACAACAGGCTAGTGACCAACATAGGCTGAAGTGAAAGAGTTAATTCTTTAGAGAAATAATTTTTGGGGTTTTGTCCTACAAACTCTGAGCTCTTCACCAGAATTCTTGGTAGTGGTTGTTTTAATAATGAAACTTCGTTAGCTGCCATTGAGAATTCAGTCTCTAACTCATAGTGACCCTGTGTACAAAAGAACAAAACACTACCTGATACATATAGAAGCTTGTCAGGTGATGTTGAGTGAATTCTAACAATGACTTTCCACAAAACTCATTACTGTCTAGTAGAAATCAACTCATGGCTGACCTTCCTATAGGTTTTCAGCGCCTTTCAGTTTCACAGGAGTAGATGACACCTCTTTATTCCTCAGAGCAGCTGTTGTGTCCAAACTACTTGCCTTTCTGTTGACACTGCAACTCCTTATCCATTTGGCAACCGGAGTTCATTGTGACTGTAGGTCTAACAATTATTGCCCAGCCTTGGGCCGTCATAGTTGCTGTATTGTTTGAGCGTATTGTTGCTGTCAATGTGTTAGTCCATCTCTTTTGAGAATCTTCCTCTTTTTTGCTGACTTTATATCTGGATTTTACCTGGGGCTCTGGACTGAAGTCAAGTGAAGCACTTGCACTCTGTAGAGCTCCTCTCCCAGAATCTTCACCTTCTCCTGCACCTCTAATTGAGTTGTTGGGGGATGTCTTTACCCTTGAGCTACCTGGTCTAACGAGGCATGAATGTGTTCCGTTCACTTGCCGTGACCCTGACTTCTACCACAGTGAGCTGGATTTAGTTTTCTTTGGTCCTTTAGTTTATGACCAGAAACTCTCATGCCTGCTCCACAGCCCTATGGTCATTCTCTTTCTACGCGTGTGCACACACACATTGGTCAAAGGTCCTTTCTCCATTATTTGAATGGAATTCTTCAAAATACAAGATTGACAGGGTTTTGTTCAGTTGTATTTGGAGTTATTTTAAGTCAGAACTGATTTAATGACACCCAATAACAAATGAAAGCTCTAGAGCCTCTGAATACAGTTGTTGGCACACAGTGCTATAACCTCAAGATTGGTAGTCTGGGTCCACTTGGGGTGTCTTCAAAGAAAGGAGGTTTGGCAGTCTGTTTCTGAAAAGTCAATCGTTAAAACACTTGGAAGCATAGTTCTCTCTATTACACATGAACTCGCTGAGTCTTAGACCATCAGTGGCAACTGGATTTTGTTGTTTTAAGCTATTTCTCTAATTTTATTATTAAATGAGATAATTTTGTGCCCCAGATGGAGACTCTTCACCAGAGTTAAGTTGTTTGTTCACTTTAACATTGCAGGTTAGCACTGTGTGCTACTTAGAGGAGAGCAGAACTCAATGTCCACCAAGGTGGACTCACATTTTCTTTAAGAGTGTTTAAGAAAATCTTACCGATAAAACTGTCATGCCCTGGTTTTAGGAAAGCAAAGTATCTAACCTGAAGCTGCTTTTCCTGATAATATATTGTAAGATATTTTGCATCTTTAAATAATTCAGTTCAGGGAATCTGAAGTCAGAGATGACCATCTTGGCTGCAGTAATATTTCCTCATGATAAAATGTGGAATGATATTTTAGGTTGTTGCTCACATTGTGCAACACAGCTTGCTGCTTGACAAAATGGCCAGGCATATGTTCCCACCATAGCACCTTTCCCCTCTTTATGACAGGGAGCTTTGGTGGCCTAATGGTAAGGAATTGTGTTGCCAATCCAAAGGTACACAGTTCGAATCCACCAGTGGCTTCAAAGACAGAAGTGGGCATTCTCCACCCATGTAATTCACAGCCTCTGAAAACCTGCTGTGGCGTCAGCTCTGGGTTGGTTCTAACTCACTGGTATATAATTTCTAACAATAGTTTTCCCTAGCTACTTAACCTCCTTTAAGTTTTTACCAAATAAGTATGTGTATATGTAAATGGTTATATAAACACATATTTATACATTTATGTAAGTGTTCAGAGACTCTCCTGA